TTAAAGTCAAATTATAATTAGAAAATAGATTGAATATATTCAGTTATCTTAAGTAAAGGATTTGATTAACTTGTCATAAAAAACTTGTCACCAAACCAAGTAATCCAAAACATATAACCGTAGGACGTACCTGGATCCACTTGCCACGCAACGTCGGAGTAGGCGAAAGAGACATATAAGCTCCAAGAGAATGAAGAACGTCGCTCGAAGTTCCATGAAAACCGGTGATTTTGCCGCCTTCTAGCAAGAACATATCGTATGTGGTGAGTCCAAATGGCTGAGAGGTTATGCCCTTGAATGTCTTGAATATAAGAGCCGTAATAATTTCTGCCTCCCAGCCAACGAGTTTCTCGTAGTAAACTTGCACAGATGTGATGTAATCATCTGGATCAACTACGAACTGCCAAAAAACAAAAACACACAGCTCTCCATTTGTAAGTAATCCACAAAATTTGACATTTGTATTTCGCGTAAAATGTTTGGTTATAAATTACCTCCTCTGTTCCGAGCAATGACTTTTTTCCGTGACCCTCTCCGGCAAGCAATTCCGTTCCCTTATTGTACTCAAACTTAACAAAGGCCACACCAGAGTCGCCTTGTCCTACATAAACCTTCCTCACATTATCATGTTCACCATCGTCCCAAGAAACTCCCCCGTTTCCACCTTTTGCTGGAAGTTTAAAGGTTGGAGTTAACGAAGCAGGAGCTGGAGCTGGAAAAGGCGCAAAATGTGCACCAAGAGCATCAATAGAATCACCGGACCGACCACAAAACCCGACAAGCTTGAAATCTTTCTCCTCGAACACAAATTTCCTACCAACCACATTTCCAAAAGCAGGGGAAGTTCTTCCTTTTGATGTTTTAAACGTAAGCGATGTAAGGTAGCCATCGATGGTTCCCTCTACTGATGTAATATGTTCATTAGGATAATCCACTTCAAACTGTAACCAAAATTTTGTTATTTTTCATTAACTCTCAATAATAAACACAAAACTACACATAGATTTTAAATGAATAATACCTCTTGTGGAACCTCTTGTCTCTTCCCATGAGCATGTGGTACTATTCTTTCACCTTTCGCATACTCAAACCTAACATAACTTACAAACTTACCACCTTTTCCAACGAGCACTTTCCTAACACCGTCGAAAGCGCCATCGTCCCAAGCATTCCCACCATTCCCACCTTGACTTGTAAAGTGCTTAAGAGGAGAATTCACAGAGAAGAAGTAAGGTCCAATTGCATCAAGAGCTTGACCAGCACGTCCATGAAAACCAAGAAGCTTTCCTCCATTTTTACCCTCGAGCATGAATTCTCTCCCTTCTGGACGTCCAAATATTGTTGTATGACCGAGTATCGGAGAGGTTCTTCCATAGGAGGTTTTGAAGATTAAGGATTTGATCAACACTGTTCCATAGCTGAAAACATGTTCGTAGCTTCCACCAACGGATGTGATATATTCATTTGGATAATCCACCGAAAACTGGATTTCATTTTCCATTAGAAACAACAAAATTTATAAGGCAAAAAAGGACTGCTAAGATCGGGTTCAATAATGACAAAATCATGATCTAATTACCTCTTTAAGTTCCCCGCGAAGCATCCCGTGTTCACGAGTTTCAAAATTTCCGTCCTTTTCGTACTCGATCTTAATATATGTTACACTATGGAAGTCTTTTCCGACAACTATTTTCTTCACACCATCGAAAACTCCATCGTCGAATGTTCCTCCCATGTTACCACCCATTGCTCCCACTTTTTTGGACATTGATTCCATCTCCTAGCTTCAAAACTCGTTTTAAATTTACACTATGAAAATTTAAAACTCGTTTTCGAAAACACACTAAGAATTAAGAAACAACAAACAAAATTGTTAACTGGAAAGAAAAACCGAGGAAGATAAGTAACACAAACTCTATTTATTTTACATATCAGTTAATACTTTCTTTTTTAAAATCGAATTATTGTTTCTCAATTATTGGGTATGCTTTTACTAGACAATGCCAATCAATCTCAGTTCGACATAATTATACGTACCTACATACTTTTAAATAGGAAAAATCATCAGAAAAATATGGATTTTAGCAACGTATACGAAAACATCTAATAATCATTTTTTTTGTCCAATTGTTTTTTTTTTTTAATAATGATGACATCTACTAAGATAGAACCATCTAAGGCCAAAATTATAGGGCATTTTTTTTTTTCCAGTATGTAAAAAAGTTTAACAGACCCACTATAGAGTATACTCAGTATAGTATAGAGTGAAAATAATTTATTGGGTCAATTGGGTTTCGTTCAAAATCAATTACCACTAACTATTCTATTTATATACTATCTTTAATCTGTCTCCACTAGTTCACTTCCAAGTTCCAATATGAAATTTTCTCGCAGTAGTAATCTTTATATATAACAGCAAAGTACCTAAGCAAAATATTTTCTTCTCTATTTAAACCTATTATAAATGTTTATATATTTTAATTTCAAAAAATTAGAAATATGTAAAATGAATATAAATATATGAAAATGAATAACATATAAACAATATAAGAGAATAATAAAAAAAAAATAATTATTGAAACATCGTAATTGCGTATCAAATGATTGTTAGGAGGCTACAAGTCTAAAGAAAAATAAGCTATCTTATTTCACCAAAAAAATACTGAACAATCTCATTGAAGAAGAGAAAAAAGGTGAAATTTTGGAATATATGATTTATTCAAAATATTATATTTGAGTTATGGAAGTATAAAAAAAATTCTAATTAATAAAGTGGTGAGTGATTAAATACAAAATTATTCAGTTCAATTCATATTTATTTTCAAATAAGAACTATATATAAACATTGAAATGATTGATCATTAATTCATATTTTCGTACAATACAAATAAGAAAAAT